TATAAGGACTTAGGTAACAAATGCTACTCAATTTTGTTAAAACTATAAGAATTGAAAACATTGAAAAAAATTATGGAGACTAAAAGTAAAACATGATGAAACTATAGGGACCAATCATGATTGTGTTTTCCCAAAAATCAATATATAAGTATAATATGATTGAAAATATAACTAATAAGAAACTAGAAATAAAAAAGAATATTTTGATCAAAAATAAAATGGTGAAACTAATATATCATTAATCAAATGTATCATAGTTTCAGCATGTTTAAAAAAAATATAGGAGCCTGTTTAGCAAGTTTTGATTTAGGGGAAGAACAAGAAGAAAGGGGTTAAAGGGGTGAAGTCCATTATTTCATAATTCATAAAGTAAATATTATATATATAATATTACATATATTACATTATATATATATATATATATATAATACATCACATAATAATGATAATAATAATTTATTATTATTTATATAAATAGGTTGACTTTATTAGGCTCATAGGCTAAGCTTGAATCTAATATGGCCTATAGTAACTAAGCCGAGCTAAGTCTGAAGTAGGTTAAGCTATAAGCCTCGTGATAATAGCTTGGCCTACTTTCACCCCTAGTCCTGTATATTTAATTAGCATATGTTGGTATTAGTTTGTATATTTTTTTTCCTTTCTTAAAATTTATTTGTCTATAATGCTAGTCTTTATTATTTGATGAAGTTAAATATGTTGATGTGTACAAAACTCTATTAATTTTGTTGAGTTGGTAAAAAAAAAAACCCTAATAGTGATATATACTAGTATTTATGATGGATTATGACAATATGAGGGTTAACTATATTGATTAAGTGTATGCTTGAAAAGAGAAATACTTCTTCTGTTTCTATATATAAGATATTTTTAATCAAATCACGCAAACTAATAAAAATTAATTATCTAATTAAAAACACAATAATATTTAAATTTTGTCCCTAATTATTATAAATAAAAAATGAATCTCTTTTTTTAAAGTAAATTAATGAGAATACTTATCCTTTTCTCTTTTCAATTTAATAAAAATATAATGGTTCATTCATTAAAAAATATGCTAACAACTTCTTATATTTAAAAAAAAAATTTCTTTACATGAGCGCGGAGGGAGTATATTTTTAAGCCACCAACTTTTTTATGTTCATAAAAAAATAATAAACAAGCACTACGGCTTTTTCTATTAAAAAAATAATAACACGAGCGGCGCCGCTTCAATCTCACTTTCGCAGTCTTTCATTTATCGTCAAAATGCCATTTATGGCTTTAGATAACATTGGAACTTGCAACATTTAATAAATACTATGAAATTAAAAAATGAAATAAATGTTACAAGAGTCTTTTATATATATATATATATATATATATTAGTAGTGCATAAAGTGAGCATGTCACACTTCAAAAATAGAGGGTGACCGGCATAGGATGTGAACCATCGCACATCATTTAAGCCTTAGATCGATTAATCTTTCTATAACTAAGACCTAATTATATTTCTAGTTTGAATTAGAAACATGCATAAACATTTTTGGCATTAACAAAAGTTTTAATATTTTTATAAAAATTTTGGCAGAACCTCTTCTTTAAACAGGATCTCCTAAAAACTCTATAACACAATATTTTACACAAAATATCATATTAATTAGGAATTCAACTCCTTCCGGCCACCAAGCAAAATATGTAACAAAATAAAGGTTCTAGCTATAGACTATATGGAGCACCTAAACTAAGCTTACAAGATAAAATTTCATAATTTAAAACATTACATCAAAAGAATACTTAATCCTTAGCTCGTCCACCTTTAATCAGTAATAGACTCCTTAATATTTGGCAGATGGTTCAGTGTCAGCTACACTATCTGAGACCAAAAAAATTTTCAGTGAATAACGTCCCAATAATAAATAATTAAATATGAATAAAAGAAAAGTTAAAAATAATTATGTAAGTTTTAAAAAAAACAATGATCTCCATAAAGATTCAAATAAATGCGGAATAATAGAATTCTATATAACTTTAAATAAAATCTTAAACCATTAAATTATCATATCAAATATTTTCATAACTTAATTTCAAGGAAACAAATAAACAAAATAAGTAATTAAAAATATATTGCTAATTAAAACAAACAGAATATGAAATCATTAAATAATCAAATTTATATATATAGGGACTTATCTGAACAATTAACAAATATGAACACATTATCCACGAGGACAAATAACCAGAAGCAACTTATGCTACGAAAACAGACGTGGATACATAGTCCACGAGGGTAAGTAACCAAACACAGCCAAAGCCACAAAACAGACATAGATACGAGACCTACGAATAACAGACGTCAGAATAGAGCTCACAAAAATTAAACTAGCTAGTAATTTACCATGGTGTGCCAAGGGTTAATGGAACTGCCATTAGAAATTAGTATTCTGTCTAAAGTCTCTTTAAAAATCAATTTTCAGACATGCGAGAAAAATAATTATTATCGAAATAAAATTTTCTTTTCTTCATATCAGATTCACATGAATTATGTAAACACCCATTCTTTTCAATGTAAAAACTTACAAACTCTTTCACGAATTTTCATGATTGTCCTTGTCGAATAAAGGATTACTAAAACTTGTAAAAAAAAAAGCAAGTTGATCAATGTTGTAAGCACATAACATGACTTCAGAAAATAGAGTTATTCAATCAACAGAAATAATCAATGCTTATGAAATATATATACATATACAAACATATATAAATAGATAAAATTGTAAATTGTTAAAATCAATATCTTTGATGAAAAGAAACTTTGTCAATAAATTATTTGGGACGTTATCCACTTACCTGAGACATTCTCTACTTTTAATCGATCTTCTTACAACAATGTTTGCTCATTAAATCCTAGTGCCCAAATAATAACATCTTATTATTTTAAAGATTTATTTTTGTACCCTTTCAACCCAAATCAATTCAGAAAAATACCACAAACAATTCCCAACTTTAATTTATTTTTTTTTCCAAACATTTCATAGATATCTCAAAGACTAATATTTTGATAATCAATTGGCTCTTCAATTAATAATCAAAATTACTCTTTTCAAGCATCTCTATTTCTAACTCCACTTTTCTTATGGAGATAATTATCTTCCATGGCTATTTAATTTGTGATAATATAACTATTACAAATATATATATATATATATATAATTAAATTTCTATACAATGTCCAACTCAAATCATCAAATAATAGCATCCAAACTACTTAAGATTTTCCTAGGAGTTTAATGAGATTTTAGGAAAATACTCAATCAAATAACAACTTCTAACAAACATTTTCAACAAATATCTTATGGGCATCAATTCCTTGCTCAATCAATGAAACTTCTTAACCTCCTCTCATTTATCCAAAATTTTCCAACATTAACAATTAGATCAAATAAACAAAACTCAAGCCTAGTCTAACATTCTCTTATTCTTCACACACACACGCACGCACGCACGCGCGCACGTGTAGAGCAACCATGAAGAGACCATGAAGAGAAAGATCAAAATTTCTCACCTCAATTTACAATAGCAAAAAGGGAAGGAAGTTTGTAGCATAAAAGAGGGAGGAAGTTTTAGAATCAAACTCTTAAAGCAACAGCTAAGTTTCCCCTGTACTTTGGCACCCAAAAACGGAATAAATGAGAGAAGAGAAAGGAGGTTCAAAGTTTTCTATGGCAGTGAACTATAGTATCACGTTGCAAGAGAGGAAGAGATTTCTAACTCACCCTTGTAGTTACTTGGACAGATAAGAAGGAAGAGGCTTCGATGATGAGAGACAGAGGAAGATGAGGGAGGCTACAGGCTACACACAGCCATGGCAGACAAAGCAACAACGGGCAACCACACGAATGAGAAACACCCACATCGGCAAAGGATGTGAACAAGAAGGGAGAGAGACTTGAACGCTCAGACCACTGCTCGGCAAAGGAAAAAGAAGGACCTCACTGATCTGAAATAGAGAAGGGAAAAAGAAAGAGCACAAGCTTAGCAGAGAAGCATCGGATGGAACTCTCGCACACTCTCATGCCAGCGACGTTGCGGATGGAAGTAGGAGGAGACGAAGAAGGTAGAAGGTAGAATCTGGAATTTTCTACAAAGCCCCAAATGTTGAATCATGCCAGAGATAGAAAGAAAAAGAAAGGAAAAAAAAATCTGTGGAGGCAAGGATAGTTATGTAATTTCACAGTGCAAAAGTAAAAAAAATAATTTATTCCTTTCTGGCTTCAACCAAGTTCAAACTCAAGACCAAATGTAAAAGTTATATGCACACTTCCACTATACCAACACCTCCTCTTGTCATAATTGTCCTAAAATTAATATAACTACAATCCAACCACAATAATATATATATATATATATATTTATTTATTTATTTATTTATTTTGCTTAAAATTCTTGGGTTATTGTAGAGCACATTATCGGGGAAGTCTCAATGCTCATCATATGGTGAGACCTGAATTATCCAAAACTAATGGTTTAACTTTAATTTTTTTAACTTATAATTTTTATATAAAAATTATTTTTCAATAGAGAAACACGTATAAGATTATCTTTATTTTAAATTCATTATATATTAAAATGATAATTTATTAAAGATATAAAAAATTATATTAAATCTGGAAATAATTGGTGTTCACCAATCACCACTCACTCAAACTGATCTCATACTTGATCTGCAAAGTCCCGTAAACTTTCATTTTCCTCATCATGTTTATGACATTTATCGCCTTAATTTAACTCAATATCCAAATATCATACTCGTAATATCTTTTATTAATTAACCAGACACAATTAATTCGCCAAGACTCGAGTCATATAAAATCACGAAAAGAACGGATCGTCACAAAATCACAAGACAAGTGGAGGGGGGGGGGGAGTAAATTAATGACAACCTCAGAAAGCAAACTAAAAGGAAAACAAATAGTAATTTGACTTTGCCCCCTTAATTTCAAGAATCAAAAGCGTTTGAAACTGACTTCATATCTCTCACACATATCTCAGAGACAAATCAAACAAAGATTATCACACAATGGCCAAATCTAACGTTTTCATCACTGTCTCATCAGTCCTTTGTCTCTTGTTCTCCTGTTCTGCTAATGGCCAAAACACGGTCGGAGAGGAGCTGATTGTACAGGGCACAGTTTATTGTGACACATGCGACGTTCAATTCGTCACCAGGCTTAGCGAGCCCATAGTTGGTAATTAATTTTTAATTTATAAATCATGTTATTAACTTTTTATCACAAGTTTCTCCTTTTACTCTCAATTAAATGTTGGTGAGAGGTAGTCTATACATTTAATAGAGAAAAAGTTGAAAACTTTTTAAATTTTTAGACATATTTAATAAGTTTTAAAGTTTTCTTACTTTGAGTGAAACATATTAAAAATGACTTATGCACAGGATCAGAGGAAGTAATATATTGTTCATCCTTGAACTTATATACATTGATATTCTTAGGTTATTTAAAACTATATGGATTGAATGATTCTATCCTGTAATTTTAATCGTTTGATTGTTCAGGCGTACCAGTTTGGGTGAAGACGTGGTAAGATAAATGATTTAAAAATTTCTGTGAAGTTTGTTTTTAAAGAAGAAAGGGAAGATCTTATATTTTACAGAAAATAATAAAAGTGAGAGAAAAATACTAAAACAGAAAAACTTCACAGAAATTCATGAATTTCAACTTTAGAGCATTTAAATCCTAAGATAAAAGGTAATAGACCCTCCAGAATGTTTAATTAGAACTGCTATGAGAATTTTCAAGAAGAGAGGAGAATGAAGTAATTATTTCAAATTATACCATTTTCATGTCTCTAAAAGGAAAACTATCTCAGTAAATGGATATCTAAAATATTATGTACAAAATGTTATTCATTACATTGGGGAAAGATGAAAATATTAATATTTAACATTGAAACTTGGACTCCAATAAATAGAACGTCAACTTATAGGGATGATATAATAAATAGTTTAATGAAATACAAAGGGAAAACAACACCAAAAAACTCAAATAAAATGATTTTTTTTTAAAAAAAGTCAATCATAATCTTTTAGATGAAAACACACAAACTCACCCTTATTTTATTTTAATTGCAGAGACCTCTCCTTTTGTTTAATTTGTAAACTTGACATCCTTTTAAACAAAAAAAAAATTATATATATGTTACACTGACTTCTCTTTCCAAACCAACTATTAAATAGCTATTAAATCATACTAATAAACTTTTACTTTGATCAAAAAACTTATCTTCAACATAAATATTATTTTAAGAAGTATTTAATAGTATAAATTAAGAAGAATAATATCCCAAATTAAATAAAATAATTTTTGTTTTTAACCTTTCTTTGAATATAATTCTATCTCTTTATTCAAGTACTTTTATTTTCACATTCTAAGTACTCCACACTTGAACCAAGTTTATCGGGGAAAAGCAAGAATGCATGATAGGGTACCTAGGAGTATGTTATATTTTCTCTCAATGGGATATGGACATTAGACTATTTTTCTATAGTTAAAACCCTATTCAAATGTGTAAAATGAAACGTTGAAATAAATAAACCAAACACATTTATACGATGTCTTATGAAATATGTATATATAAAATGATTGACAAAGGGAAAAAAATGTATGAAGATTTCATGACTCATGAATTCTCAGGCTAGGGTTTCTAATGTTTTTTATAATACCCAACCTTCTCAACTTTGTTTTTTTTTCCTTTTAGATTATTGAAAACTACATATAATAAAAAAAAACCATTTTGATTTCTTGAAGTCATGAACAATAGGATTTTGCCTTTTGTTAAATGATTTTTTTAATGAAAAATATCAAAATTACATACTTTTATCTTTGAAAAATGGTTAAAAAATAATATAAAACCCTATCATTATATTGCAAGACTTAAAAGAAATTAAAGTGTCTCTTGTTTGATACAGAAGCCAATAATCTAAAGCAAAGAAATAAAATTATGAAGATTGAGTATTATAAAATTTATTAGAAAGACACACATCAGAGACTTCTAGCTCTGAATTCTCTTATAAGTGTGCTATTTGTTATTGATTGTTTTAATGTTTTAAGATTTGTTTATCCTCACATGTAATTTTTTGCAAATAGTTAAGAACATATAATTATTATCCACATATATTTACATATGAGGAAGAGCAGTGTAATAGTCACAAATTAAAGTTGAACAATGATGAATTAGGCGCGACGGTACGGTTGAAGTGCATGGACTCTAACAACCCAAAGAATATAACGTTGGAGAAAGAGGGGACAACAGACCAGAACGGACAGTACAGGATCGTCGTCGACGGCGACCATGCCGAGGAGGTGTGCGAGGTTGTGCCAATAAAGAGCAGCAAAGAGGATTGTGCAGAGTGGGACGAATCAAAGCATCTGCAGCAATCTGCGAAGATTAGCATCACCAACAAGAATGGAATCAAAGCTCGGCTTCGCAATGCAAGCCCTATGGGTTTCTCAAGGAAGCAACCTCTTCCTGAGTGCCCTCAGGCTCTCAAAGAGATTGGATTGAAGCCTGACGGCACCGTTTTAGATGAATAATTCTTGTTATTGTTTCATAATGCATGTGTATGAAGTAGGGTTGTGTTGTCCATGCTATTGTTTTGTCCTAGAGTTATGTTTATGCTCTAGAAGAAACTTAGCTTTTTCTTTAATTTCAAACTATTTAACAATAAAAGGTTTTGCCTTCCAAGTCGGTGGTATGGTTCATTGATTGTTTTGGGGAGAACTCCTGGTTCAATAACGTAAATAATATTGAAGTTTAAATATTATAACAGTAAAATTACGTATAGGTCCTATGGAGTAAGTTTATTTATAAATAAGTCTTGCAAAATTTAGAAAACATAACTAAATCCCTTGAGACTTAAATGTAATTTAAAATTAGGATACAGAAACAGTAGTGCCTCTATTAAAAATATATTATATCCATCAAATAATTTGTGATTGTTTTATCAATATTTATAACTATCACTTCAACTTTTTACAACTATCACTTTAATTTTTTACATCAAATATTCAAACATTTTAATTATTGGATATGTGAAATTATAATTATAAAAAGTTAAAGTAATAGTTATAAATTAATAATGAAATAGTTGTAAACAATTAGTATTAAAATTTGAATAATGTATAATCGGTTTAACTATTAGATACATGAATTACAATTGTAAGTTGAAAATTGTAAAAAGTTGAAATGATAGTTTTAAATTATTGATAAAATAGTTGTAATCAATTAATGTTAAACTTTTTAATAATTCATGATCAGTTTAACTATCAGATGTGAAGTTACTGTTGTAAAAAATTAAAGTGATAGTTGTAAATTGTAAATTACTGATAAAGTAATTGTGAATTATTTAATTGATGTAATGTATTTTTAATAGGGGCATTATTGTCTTTTGATCTCAATTTTAAATTACACTCAAGTCCCAAGAGATGTGGCTATGGTTTATAATTTTGTGAGCCTTATTGTAAATAAGTCTACTCTATGAAATCTATATGTAATTTTTTCTATTATAATTATTTCTTATTTAAATCATTTAAATCATGTCCAAGTTTTTTATTGATTGGGTAAATGAGTAAATTACTCTCTGAACTTTAGATTCAGTAGCACTATAAATCTTGAACTCATTTATTATGCAAATTGTTCTCTCAACTTTTGAAATAGTGCAATTTGGCCTTTGCTGTTAAAAAAGGTTAACTTTAACCATTAGTTGCCTAGAAAATAAAAAGAAAAGGATATAAAAAATTATAGAAAATGCCCAAAAAAATTACAATAAAAAGACCGGCAAAATTTTTTTTGGTTATTTTCTGTAATCTTGGAAGTCCTTTCTCTCATTTTTGAGTCCACTAATGATTAAAGTTATCTTTTGTTGATAGCAGGGGTCAAATTACACATTTTTAAAAAGTTGAAGAAATAATTTATGCAATATATGAATTCAAAATCTATAGTGCTACTACTAGACCTAAAGTTTAGAAATAATTTGTTCATTTATCCTCATTAATGTAAGTAAATTATGTATGGATGAATTTTCAATTTGTTTAATTATATGTTTGTGCGCATTACTTGGCCATGAAAGCAAGATTGTGCATCAATTCATTGTCCTTTACCAAGTAATTGGACGTTGTTACCCCTTTTACATGATGCATATGTTTAAGGGCTTGTTGCGTTTCTTGTGGAAGTTTTTCACCAAGTGCAACTGGTATTCTTAACTTTCAATTGAGTGTTAAAGGAAAAATTTGTAGAAATACCCAAAAGGGGGCTGAATTGGGCTAATAAAATTTTTCACAAATAAAAGCTTGATTAAGAAGATAAGAAAAGGAATAATATCACCGTAGTGTTGAAGTAAAGAGAAGAAAAAATCACACGAGGAATGTATCTTGGTTTGGCTAATTGCCTGTCTACATCTAGTCCTCCCCAAGCTTACTCCTTGGGATTTTTTACTATAACCTCCAAAATTAATCCGGGCCCTCTTGGATGCTTCAATACAACCTTGACTATGCAAGTCTAAAACATTTTCCCTTACAAAGATAGTGTATCACCCATTTGAATTCCTTGAACGCAAGATACTCTGTTCTAAGCATGTGAAACTAGGGTAGATCATAGAGTGATGAAATTCTCAAGTAACTCTCTAAAAAGTGGATATACAATCAACGAAGCTGTCAATAAATTGAATACAAGTGTAAGAGAGTAATTGAAGAATTTAATGAAACAATGTGCATAATAACTTCTTTGCCTTGATATTCATAAATGAGTCTTTTTATCGTGTCTTTGTGCTAATTATCCATAGACCCATGAAACTATCCATTGTGACTCTTGCTTCTTGTTAAATTGAACATTGCATGCTTTGCCCAATGTTTATCTTCATTGATGATGCTAAGTTTTCCAAAAAAAAGATAATCGAAAGAATTTTTTTGGCTGGATAGCATGTTTCGGGCTTAAAGTAACAACACATTAATGCCTTGCGTTATTACCGTTGAAGCTAAAACTTCGAAGAATTGAAGAAACTCTGAAGAATGGAAGATTTAGCCAAATGTGGATTAATGAAATAAAACTCATTTAAGAGTTAAGCCACATATTAGAAGATGTTAATATGAAAGTAATTGAGTTTAGAAACGATAAAGAGTAATTTTAGATTAAATTAAAGGTTAATCAGATTCGTAAATAGAGAGGAACTTCAAAGATTTTATGAAATTTTGAAGACTTGAGAGTTCGGCGGAAAAACCATGAAGTTCAGAAATGATCATTCCGAAGATTTGAAGTTTTGATGCCACGAACAAAGAGCAAGAACTATTCGAAGTCTTGGAAAACTTCGAAGGTAACGAAGACAGGAGATAAGTCATCAAAGCTCAAGGAAAATCTTCGAAGAGATTTAAAGATCATGCAAAATTTTGAATGGATAAACTTTGAAGTTTTGTGAAACTTTGAAGATTTGAACAATGGAGACTAGAGATACACAGAGAAAAAAACTTCAAAGATTTAAGAAAACTTCGAAGATTTGAAGAGAAGTCTCAAATTTGTTTATAAATTATTCATATCAATATAAATATAAATAGCAAAGAAATGTTTTATTTTAAAATTTGTTTCTTTCGCACTGTATATACAATCTGTATTACTTTAAAATTCACTATAATATTGCAATTCTATCAAAATTAGACGTTATAATATACCCTTGCACTTTAAAATTAAAATTTATATTACTTATTTTTAATTTTTAAACATTTTAATTTGTATTTTCAAAAATGAATATGTAATATTATAATATAAAAATTGAATTTTAAAAAATTAAATACATTAAAAGTGAAATTAAATGAAAAGAAGGGCTTAGGTGCCCAACTCTGAACTTGATCAATAAGGGCTGCATTTTAGAAAATCACTGACTTTAAGGTTAATAGGACTTTGGTACTTTAGTCTACTTGAGTTGGGCCCAATTGTTTACCGGCTCTATTAAAGTATATATTTGGTATATTTGATCCTTTAATTTTATATAATATTTTAATTTAATCTTTAATTTTATAGAGTATCTTTATAGTTCTCTAACTGTAAAACTATTGATTTCAAATAATTATTTTTGTACTAATTGTTGTTATTTTGAAAAATTAACCTCAATACATTAATATTTGTAAAAAATTTAACTTCATATAATATTTTAAAATTTCAATGTCATATTTTTTTGTTAATGAAATTAATGGTATTAGACTTAAAGAAATAAAAAATATTTTATAAAGTTAACGGATCAAAATAAAATTTAGGGTAAAACTAAAGGACGACTAAAGGTACATCTTAGCCAAAATTTAAATAGAATATTTTATTCTAAAATTTATTATGAGTACATATTAAAAATTAAAAGGAAAAACTTATATACTAAGATTTCTATATTTTATTGATTATTTATTCTATAACAAATTCTTATTATTAATATTATTAATGTATTAAAATTCATGGATAAATTGGCTCACTAACTAAAAAAACTTGTGCCCAAAAAATATAGACCAAATTTTAAAAATTTGGGAGTATGACGGATTTATATTGATACATAAGAGATTTATCATTGATATATAAAGAGTTTATAATTAAAAAATTTTAAAATTTATAAATAATTTATCATTGATATATTACAGTATATCATTAACAAAAATAATAAATTAATCATAATGCAAAATATAATAAGTGTTGGATTGCTTGCTTTGTTTGGTCTTATAGCATGGACTATGCTTACAAAAGTCCCAAAATCCATTTGTCTCAATTTACGTGGATAAAAGTATATTGAACAAATAACAGAGAGTATCTAAACCTAAGTCTTTACTCAAAATTAAGAACTATAATTAATTCCAAAAGTTATCGCCGGAATACTTATTTTTTTAAAATATAATATTCTATTATATATTTTAATAAGAATATGATTTAAAAAAATTCAATAATTCTTATTTTTAAAAAATAGAAAAATAATTTGTTAGATATATTGCCGGCCGACACTCTGCAGGCAACCTTTTTTTAATTAATTTTATTTTTTTTTTTAATATTTTAAAAATTATGTTATTAAAGATTATATCTACTATAGATCTCCAGCAAAATTCAGACAACAAATCCAAAGAATTCAGATAAGATAAGATAAGATAAGATGCATGTACCTTTTTATCACGTGACTATTACTCAGCAATTGTTACAACCAAATCCAACATGGCTTCTCTCATATAAAGGGCAAGTTCAACACATTTTAGGACATTTGATTGATGCATATGAATAGGAGAATAAGATATTTAATGCTCTCAAAATCCTCTATATATTTATATACTGTTAAATTTCTTTTTGATTTACTACTGCTAATATTATATTTTTGTATGTAACTATTAAATGAGAAAAACTATTTGTCTCATCATAAGCATCTCAGTTATTACACATATTTCTTATTAGAGAATAGTCTTAATTCTTTAGAATAATTTTATAAATTAAAGTTTTTTTTAGGAAAAATGATAAAAAATTTCTCTTCAAATATGTAAATGACAATGAGGTTCCACGAAATGTGATAATTCTCTTGAAACCTTTGACATTCATGTCATTTGTTAAATGACTATAATGTTCATACTCTAAAATATAAAAAGAAATGCATTTTGCAAATTTTTTCTTCCAACGCAATAACTAAAACAGGATAGAAAATGAAAAATTTCATTCTGCAAATTTTTTAATCACTAAAGTTCAAGTATTGTATAGTAAATAAAACACTCCTCTTTGCCTGTTTCTCCTTTAATTTTATTTTAAATTGGGTGCATTATAGTCATTTCACTAAAAACATTAATGTTAAAAATGTCTCAAGAAACTTAAGAGGAATTATTACATTTTGCATGATCTTATTGTTATTTATATATTTTAAAGATATTTTTCTGTTATTTTTTCTTTTCTTAAAACAATTTGTTATTTTTATCCTTAAACATAATTCCCCCTAAATTACTAGGAACTCTGGTTGATATTCTGGCACATCCCCACAGCGACAATAAATAAATAAATAAATAAAAGCAGCACATGCATTATTTCTGTTGGTCTGAAAAAAAAAAAAAAGCCAATTTCTTCATTTATTGTCCACATCGGAAATGTGCATATACTTATTATTCGGGGTGACTTGCCTCCAACCCCTTCCTAATGCGAAAGTGGATCCCACCCTCATGTTATGAGGGCAGAAGACAACTCACCAGGAGAGAATTAATTAATTAATTAAATGAATTTGAACAATAAATAATATTTCGTAAATAAATGAAGTGGAGCAGTTATAATATTAATTTAAATAAGAAATAATATTGTTATCTTTTTTATAAATTTAATATCAAAATTAGAACCGCAGTGATATTTTAAAAATTTAAAAATTTTAACTTAAAATAAGTCTAATTAAAGAGTCTTTATTAATATTTTTCAGGGAATAATGTAAGTATCATTTAAGGGCCACAAGGGAAAATTGGTTAAAATGATTTGACCGAGAGGTGAAAATATCTCAAGACCAAATTTTAAAAAAAAAAACGCAAAAGGTCTTTTTCATTTAACAATTTTACTGTTCTTAATTATAACTAATATTTATCTATAATTATACGAAAATTAATGAATTAAACTAATTTGATTAAGTTTAAATCTTGACTTTCTTTTACCAAAAACAATTTTAGACCGTAAAATTCAGTTATCTTTTGAATTTAATTTAAATCTTGACTTTCCTTTACCAAAAAATATGATTTATTTAAGTTTTTCATAATTTATAACTTGCACTATATGCTTTCAATAATGATATATCTCATATCATAAAATTATTGATAAATTATATGTAGCGATAAAAAAAATATAAAGATTTGAATCTTCTTTGTACTTGGTCTCAATATTTATACCTCTCCATGCACAATCTTACCTCTTGATTTGATTATCCATTTGATTTAATGGCCATGCATTTATTATTATCAGTTAAATGCTTTTTGAAAGCAATATCATAATGCTTTTTATCATAAGATACTATTTAGATGAATAATATATATTTAGTTTAATGTCATAATTAGCACTATGTTAAATCAAATAAACAATTAGATAAACAGGTAAAATTGTGCGTGAAGAGGCATTGAAATAATGTATCTAAAGGATTCGAATCCAATAATTTAATTTTAATAATCATGCATGTGGAGCTCTCTTGTTTTTTTAATCAATAACCTTGGCAACTTCGAGACACCAACCCCCACACACACAAAACTTGTATATCTTACCAAGCAAAACTTATTAAAAAAAAAAAACTTGTATATTTGGCTTTTGCCGCCTGAATTTACCCAAAAAAAAAACACTTGTATATATATATATATATACACACATGTATGGGTGTCCCGATTTGTGTTACCCGTCTTCCCAGATTATTTAACATTTCTCCTATCCCATTTCCAGAAACAATGGCAACAGATGTTGCAGAGCTTCAATCCAAGAAACCACACATCGTCGTTCTCTCAAGCCCTGGTATGGGTCACGTGATCCCTCTCTTCGAGTTCGCTAAGCGCCTCGTCCTCCTCCATGGCTGTCACGTGACCTTCCTCAACATCACCACCGAAGCTTCCGTCGCCCAAATTCAGCTCCTCCACTCCCCGAACCTCCCTCTTGGCCTCTCCGTCGTCGATTTCCCACCCGTCGATCTCTCCGGCATGGTCACCGACCACACTTTAGCTCTTACCCGTCTCTCTGTAAACGTACAACAGAGCTTGCTCTCCCTAAAATCCATGCTCTTACAGCTTCACAGGCCCCAAGCCGTCGTCATCGACTTGTTCTGCACCCAAGCGTTTGAAATATGCAAGGAGCTTTCCATCCCTACCTTCATGTTCTTCACTGCTTCCACTCACTTGCTTGCCTTCTCCTTGCTCCTTCCCCAGCTTGACCGTGACGTCACCGGCGAGTTCGTCGACCTTGCTGCACCCATTCAAGTTCCGGGATGCTCACCGGTCCGAACCCAAGACCTCCTAGATCAGGTCAGAGATCGAAAAAGCGACGATTATAAATGGTATCTGTATCACCTTAGCAGAGTGCCAATGGCCGATGGGGTGTTCTTGAATACGTGGGAGGATCTAGAACAGTTACCAGTTCGAGCCATCAGAGAGCATTCTTTCTACAAGAAGATGCTCACAGCACCAGTTTGCTCTATCGGACCAGTGATAAAGGAAACCGAACCGGTCACAGGAAGAGGAACAGAGTGTTTGGCCTGGCTCGAGGAACAACCGGCGAACTCGGTTGTCTTTGTTGCCCTCGGCAGTGGGGGAACCCTATCTGCGGAGCAGCTCACAGAGTTAGCGTGGGGTCTCGAGCTGAGCCGGCAACGGTTCATATGGGTGGTTCGAACCCCAAATGATGCCAATGCCTGTGCTGCTTTTTTCGACGTTGGCGGCGAGATGAACGACCCAAAATCCTATTTACCAGAAAGGTTTATAGAGAGGACAGGAGGAAGGGGTTTGGTGGTGCCGTCGTGGGCCCCACAGGTGGCGGTGCTGCAGCACAGGTCGACGGCGGCGTTTCTGTCTCACTGTGGGTGGAACTCTGTGTTGGAGAGCTTGGCTCACGGTGTGCCGATAATAGCGTGGCCGCTTTACTCAGAGCAAAGGATGAACGCGACGACGCTGGCAGAGGAGGTGGGAGTGGCGGTGAAGGTGGCGGGGGAGAAGGCGGAGAGGAGGGTGGTTGGGAGGGAGGAGATAGAGAGGGCGGTGAGACTGATGGTGGAAGGCAGAGAAGGGATGGAGATGAGACAAAGAGCAATGAAGCTTCAAGAGAGTGCAATGAAAGCGTTGGGTTATAGTGGGTCCTCTCATGAGTCACTCGCTCGAGTTGCAGAACAATGGAAGGCCACCTTGAAGAATTGATGATTAATTTATATGCAAGGGATATGGGTTTCTGGGATCATTTATGGTGTTGTAGAAAAGTCAACTATTAGTTGTCACCTTGGAATTCTCATATTTTCATATCAAAAAATTAAAAATAAAAAAAAATTGAATTGTCATATTTTTTATTTGTAAGAGGTCTCGGTTTGAACTTGAGAGTTAACATATTTGTGTTTATGTGCGCTGTGTAGGGACCAGTTTCCCTTGCTAAGCATAATGCTGAGCAGGAGTAGCTCATCACAAAACAACGCACAGTTTTAATAAAAAACAGGTTTCGAGATTCATTGATTCAGTGATACGTCAGCAAACGGTGTCGTCCTGCTTGGCTGTTTTGAAAATCACATATTTAATATTAATATCAGCAAAAAAAAATCAGAACGTGATATGTGAGCGAAGCAAACGGATGTGATAAAGAAAATGCTGCTTGGCGCCAAAGTTTGGAGGTTTGGTGTTTCTAGAAAGGCGTCGACTTTCAATATGAGGGAGGAGGTTGACTTCTTATCGCGAAAGGCATTGACTTACAGTGCGAAGGAGGAAGCCAATTGCTGATTAGTTGATTCTGTCAATGGAATTTGAAAGGTGCATTCTTTCTGTCCTGTTTCATTCATGCACGCACACACACACTAAAATTTATGTATAACATTATTAGTAAAGTGATGGATTCCATTTCGTTCATTTGGTCAATGAGACTGAAAGGTGCATGCTGTGTGTGTGTGTGTGTGTGTGTGTGATATTAGTAAACAGTAAGAGAATAAATTTTTGAACTCCTTTGCTCTTTGAGTAGGCTGTTCATAGTGTTTATGCTTGAAGAATGATATTCAATGAAAGAATTATATTTGAAAACAGATCATATTTTTTCTTTATATTTAAGATTAATAGAAAAAGAGGGATTGTCTTTAAGCTCATATTATAACAATACTTTATATTTACAAGTTGATAATTTTAAAAAGATATTTTTTTTTGGCATATAGGAACCAAAAATGGAAGACAAACTAAAACTTGAAATAGGAAAGGAGTTTGGAAGTTTGGATGAAGCATGGAACTTTTGAAATGAATATGGAAACAAATTTGGGTTTGGAGTTAGAAAGTATAATGGAACAAAGAGTAGAAAAGATGGTTCTCTTATTACACACAAATATGTATGTTGCAAGGAGGGTGTTCCAAAAAAAAAAATAAAAGAGAGATGACCTCTTCTAGATATCAACTAGAGACAAGAACCAAGTGCAAGGCAATAATAATTGTATCTCGTATTGATCAAAAGTTCAAAACTACTATGTTTAATGAAGAACATAATCACCCTCTTCTTACACCAAAGACAATGCTTTTGTTGACATCATAAAGAAATTTATCAAAAGCTCAAACTCATGAAATGGATCTTGTAGAAGAATCTGGACTTGAACACAAGGATGCTTTTGTCTTAATAAGTATATATGCAGGTGGTCAAGAAAATCTTAGTTATACCATGACAGATGCAAGGAACTACTTGATGTCTAAAAGGCGAAGACATGAAGTTTGGAGAGATGGAATGTCTAACTTGAATATTTTCAAAAACAAGTTGCCCAAAATCTTGCATTTCATCACAAATACCAATTGGATAATGAACAACAAATTACCAATGTGTTTTGGACAGATTCTCTTATGCTAATAGATTATGCACATTTTGGTGAGGTTGTATCACTAGACATTACATATAGTACAAATAAGAATCATTGATCCCTTGCTCTCCTTTTTGGCTTTAACCATTATAGAAGTGTGGTCATTTTTGGAGCAATATTATTGTATGATGAGAGTATTGAGTCTTTTAAATGGTTTCTAGAAACTTTTTTAGATGCTCACATGCAAAACAAGCCTTACACTGCGTTTATTGACCAGGATCAAGCTATGGCTAGAGCATTGAGTAAAGTGCTTCCTAATACGAGACATTTTTGTGCACTTCATGGCATTAAACACCTTTGAAACTTGATGAAAGATGGGTCACACTTTTTAATTGACTTTGAGAAGTGCATGTTTGATTATATTGAAGTGGACAAGTTTGAAAAAGTGTGGAGCAAATTATTATCTGCTTACAATGTCTATAAAAATGGGTGGTTGAAGTCTACTTATAATATTAAGGAGAAACGGGCTAGGTGCTATATGAAGGATGCTCTCATATTAGGAATGAGAAGCACACAAATTAGTGAAAGTGTGAATGTTGATGTAAAGAGGTGTACAAAGCCAACATTAGACATTAATTGATTTTTCAAGAGGTTTGAAAAAGTTATAGCAAAGAAGCGATACAAGGAAGTGCAACTTGAGTTTGAATCTCAACAAAAGATACCAAGGATGGTTAATCAAAGTGCACCTATATTGCATCAACTTGTGTAATCTTATACTCCCACTGTCTTTGACATATTCCAAGAACAATGGGGCCTCTAATTTTTAGTGAAGTTAGTTGAACGTGATGAGAAAGAACCATTGTTTGTATACATGACCTATATGAGGGAAATGGAGAATTGAGTTTAAGCCTGACACATATGAAACTTGTTGCACTTGTCAAAAGTTTGAGACTACTGGGATATTATGTTATCATGCATTGAAAGTTTATGAGTTTAAAGATGTGAGAATTATGCTTGAGCAATACATTCTCAAGCGGTGGACCAAAGAAGCAAGGAACGATATTGTACATGTTAGAGGAAATAAGATATGAGTAGATCCTAGACTTGACATCACATGAAGATATAGACAACTAATGATGAAGATGGTAAGATTGGCAATAAAGGCAGCTAAGACCTCGGAAGGATTTACTCATGTTCAGAGATATATCATTAAGTTGGAAAATGAGAACCTGATGATAATGAAAATGATACTTTTGAACCAGTCATAGAGTCACGAAATATGCCAAAGGGATTTAAAAAAAGAAATGGAAAATCAAGAAAGAGATGCTGGAAAGGATGGGAAGAGAAGAATTTACAACCAAGAAGAGTTATATCAAAGGTATTGAATTTTAATTTATATATGACACCGAAAAGCCTATTATTTATATTGAATTTATTTTCTGTAGGATTCTCAAGAAGCTCCACCATCTAGGAAGTCATCTAAGAAAAAAGAAAAGGCTTCGTCAACAAAAAGAAGAAGAAAAGTTGATCAAATAAAAGATACAGAAATTCAAGTTTCAACCCAACCTACATAAACACAAGTATTATCAGCTCAAGTTCTTCCAACACAACATATTTTTCCACCATCTATATCACAACCACTATCGTTTACAAGCTTGTTGATGGCACAAGGCAATGAAATTTCATCACTTGAAGCCATAGACCTTATAGCAAACTACTCACAAGGTAATAAATAGAAAAATAGATGCACTCAATTTACACAAAAATAACATTTTATTCATTTCAATAATGTCATATAATTTGCAACAATAGCCTCTTAGGTGCACAAATTTACATATTCTTTCTTCTTTTAGCACATTAATTCTACAAGCTGGACATTTTTTAGATACTTTCGTGAAACAATTGTGGACATTTTTATAGGATGGTCCTTGCTTTTGCTTGACTATAGACTGCCCAAATTTGGACACCAACATCCATCTTACAACCAGAATGCAAATCAATTACCATCCTTCTCCATTTATAATCTTACATTATGTTTTCTATTTTGAAACTGTATATCTTTTCCCTTTAATCAAAGAATCAAATTTGCACAAGATTACGTATTTGTAAGCAAAATAGTCTTGTTTCATAATTGAGCATATACAGAAAATGTAGGGAGTTATTATTGATCTATTGACATGCCATAAAAGTCAGTTTCAAAGCTTCACATACTTCTTGAGCCTCAATAATACTAGTTTTTGCATGCTCTGGAATGGGAATGTTGCACATTCAAGTCATTCTAGAAGATGATACCAAGACCTTAAGTAAAATTCCTTCCATATGCACATTAAAGTCAATCATAGAAGAAAATTCTATTTTATTTTTATAACCAAAAAGAAGAAAAAAATTTTAAGTAAAATTCCTTCCATACATACTATGGAATTCTTTTATGGAAAAAAAAATTCTTCAACATCCATGCGCACTCCTTAAAAAAGTTCTTCAATATCATATGGTTGATGCTGAGTTGAATTATAGCTATCCTTTGAAACCAACTAGCCAAGTGAGCTTCGAGACTTGCAATAAGACCCTCTGCTATCATGTCATGGCATTACTTCCATTAGCATTTGAGGAGGGAATGTTCAACTAAGAAGCATTTCACAGAGAAAGAAGCAAGAGTGGCAGGGTTGGCATTTGAAATGAAATTTTAGAATGCTATGTAGAATATAAAAAGAAAAAGATAAAATTTAAATTATTCCAAACACCCATTAACAGATAAAAAGTATATAGGATCAATTTAATTCTTTTTTCCCCAAAAAAATAATGAAATTCTTAATCATTTAGTTTGTTTCAATTATTTATTTAATTCTTTATATTTAAATTTTATCAATTTAATTCATTACATTTTTTAAAATTGTTATATTAGTTTTGTAAGTTTTAAAATACAAAATAACTTTTAAATCAATCTAATATGTAAAGCATGTGATGACATGCATGACACACACACACACACACACACACACACATTTAAATGAATAAATTAGCCCTCAAATTAATTTAACTTTTTATTAATATAATCATTAATTTATGTTGCACTTTTTTCTTTTATTTTATAAGTTTTTTACTTTAATTTTTTGTCTAAATAATTATACTTGTTTTTAATAATTAATTACTTGAATGTCATCAACCTTTCATTATCTATATTAACATATTTTAATAGTGTTACCTCCTTTTTAAGTGATAAGAACAAAATTGATAAAATTAAATTTTAGGAACTAAATCAACAATTGAGACCATCATATATTGATAAAACAACTATTTGACGGTTATTAAAACTATCCAATATAGTGTCAGAATGGGTGATACAAGGAAAAAAATATATTGGATGGTTATTTTAAGAACTATCCAATATAAGACATATTGGACGGTTCTAGTCATAACCATCCAATATAGTGCACATATTGAAAAGTTCTGATAATAACTGTTCAATATGATTATATTTTTTATGATTATAATAAATAATCGTCTAATATTTTCATTATATTGGAAA